AGGCATAATAACCCATCACTACCTAAGCTCCAACGTTCATTGGAAGGATCTTTTGCAAGTTCCAAACCAACAACGGAGCTCGGGTCCTTCAGAAGAGTGAGAATGATTGCTTGATGCAAAGCCTCGATATCCATGATGATGGAAGCTCAGAGCATTGGGCCTTCTAAGAAGGTAGCTCGAAGAGATGTAGTCAGTTGCTCATTAGTGAAGATAGGTCGGAAGTTGTGAGGGTTGACTTGCGCATAGCCAATATCCCCCTCTTTGGGATAGACGTCCCAGCGTCTAGTTATTGAACCGGGTTTTTCACTGAGCTTTCCCGGTCGGAAGTGAATTACCATGTTGAATTGGTGGAGATACTCTGACCAATGGACCTGTCGACGGGTGAGAATCTTGGTAGTAGAAAAATACTCAAGATTTTTGTGATCAGTAACGACGTCCACCGGATCACCCGAACCTTCCAGATAGTGACACCAAGCTTTAAAAGCTTCAAAAATGGCGAGGAGCTCCTTGTCGTGAGTGTTGTAGTTGAGCTCCGCAGCATGAAGGGTTCTGGAGAGGAAGGCTAGAGGATGAATTTCACCGTCAACAATTTGAATGGAGAGAATCGCTGCAATGGCATAATCGGAAGCATTGGTTTCAATGGCGTAGTCGGAAGTGTTGGTTTCCATGATAATAGGACAATTGGGTTCCCAGTGAGCAAGAATGGATGCAGAAGTAAAAGCAGTTTTGAGGTTTTCAAAAGCCTCTTGACAATCGTTGTCCCAGATCCAGGAAGCGCCTTTCTGGGTAAGCCGAGTCATCGGCACAACAATATCACTATAATTATAAATAAAATGACAATAGAAGTTTGCAAACCCCAGGAAGCACTGAATCTTCTTAACCTTCCTTGGAACAGGCCATTCCAGAATGGTCTGTACTTTCTCTTTGGACATGGTCAATCTGTCAGGAGAAAGAATATAACCCAAATACTCAATGGTATCCATATTGAACTCGCATTTGTCAGGATTGGCATAAAGCCAATGCTTCCATAACCACCGAAGAACTTCCTTGATGTGTTCTTGGTATTCCTCCGGCGTGTCGGAGTAAATCAGAATGTCGTCAAGGTAAACGATGACACAAACATCTAGCATGTCAGAGAAGATGTCATTAACAAAACATTGGAAAGCAGCAGGTGCATTAGTAAGACCGAAAGGCATAACCTTCCATTCATAGGAGCCATATTGGGTTCGAAAGGTCGTTTCCATTCATCACCTTCTGCAATTCTGACTTGATGATAAGCATGAGCGAGGTCCAATTTGGTGTAGATTTTAGCCAATTTCGGAGCGTCGAGGAGGTCCGAGATCAACAGCAGTGGATAGCAGTCCTTCTTGGTGACGCAAAGCCAAAGTTTCCCATCCTTCTTGGGAACGAAGAGTACCGGAGCACTGTGAGGCGAGGAAGATGGGGTGATGGCACCAGTAGCCAGCTGTTTGTCAATAAAGTCTTTAAGGGTGATTAGCTCCTTTTCAGACAAAGGATAAATTTGACCGATGACACGCCTAAATTTTGGCTAGACATCTATGCTGTGAATGGTGACATTTTCATGCATAGATTCGTATCAAGAGGACTGTAATTGAGACCCAGATTGACAGTCAAAGTCAATACTGAATCAGTCTAATAAGTTGAAGGGACCATATACCCATACTACCACAAGTTGGTTAGTTTACGCATCTCCAATACTATCTCCGGATAAAAGTCTACCTGTTTGTCAAGCAGGATTATACCAGACTCGGACTACATCCAAAGGATGACCATTCACGTATGACATACCAAGGGTATTCTTATTGGACCTCACACTAGCAGGAGTTTGGAAGAACTTACTCAAGTGACCATGAGCCGAGGATTGACTCAAAATGACTTTCTAGAACTCAGGAATTGTCAAATACACCTTCTAGAATGAGATCATGCATTAATCTAAAAGACTGCGATTTAGTCTAATAGACCAATCAGGTTGCATGGTTGAGTAAAATGACTAGAAGAACAATCGAAGTACTGCGAGGCTCCGAAGACATATCAAATGAATGTCAAAGAGTCCTGACGTAGAAAATATTGAAGAATGCAATTAAATGAATACTATGCATAACTCCCTTGATAGAGTATAGGCACAATGGGTGTCTATTGAAAGAGAGAAGCAATTAGTTTAATCCAGATGAATCAGAATGATAGAATTAGAATCGAGGAGAGCTGATTTGCCTCCGGACAAGGTGACAAACGATTGAAGTAAAGTGTTGAACAGCAGTGACAGCTGAACACCATTCGAGTCATTCTCCAAAACAATTAAATTAAATGAACATCGAAGTACCTACCTATGTTTGGAGGTATACTAGAATCTTGGAACCATTATGGACCAAATCAGGACATGTAGATTCAAATTAAATGGAATCTGACCAATTGTAGAAGTTTCCTTGCGGTTCCGAATGTTTATTGTATTAAATTAATTGTACTGTGGGACTTGATATTCTGTATGTATAAATAGCGATCCGATGTATCTGGAATACAAGTGATTTTGGGACGACGTTGCAGTGCTAGTCCGTAAAAAGGAAAGACACACTCCCGCCAGAGCCATTCGGGCCCGGCACTTGTGAGTATAGGAATGTCGTGTTCTGCTCCTTGTGACTGCGAGAAGTTATATCCAGCTGTTGAATATTCTTCGAACTTAGGATCAGTCGTTGGTCTTAAGGGCAAATCACACTGTGTGGTTGTGCCAGCACATAGTTCTAGCCCTCTGTAGGGGTCTGTGTATTTTGGTTTTAATCTACTTTGATTCAAACCCCCAATTCTTGTTATACCCATATCAATACAACTAAAGCACAAATTGTGCTGAATCTACCTTAATCAAAGGAATATACTGAATCCTTAGAACGATTCAAATTGATTGATTGAAGCTTTGTGGAACCTTCAACAATTCTACCCCTTGCTATTAAATAAATTTGATAGCAGTGAACTCGCATATTGTGTATTAGATTGGTTGGTTGGAGTGCCCATTTGATTCCTTCGTTTCTCTTTCACATAAAAATGAGGCAAGCTCATTACCAATTAGTGCGCGTGAAGATTTTACCATGGTCCAAGATCAGATTGCACCAGATTCATATACTTTTCACTGCTTTACAAGTTTGGCACTGGTTTGGAATATGATCAGCTTAGTACTACCTCATTTTGCATGTGGTCACACATGCACTAACTCAACATGTCTTTCTTTACCATTGCTTCATTGAAACAATTGTGAGCAGATGTGCAAAGTGAAAAGCAATCTGCTGTTAATTCCATGATCCCACAAGGTCATAGCCACATCCTAGGTGTCTATATTTTACACATTTTATAGAGGTGTAATAGGTGATGAAGCTATTACATACAGTGAAAGATAATGTTAAGAAATGATTGTTATGACTATGATGACCCTAAACACAAAGCCAAGCAAGGTGTACTATGGTATTTACGGATGTGCACTGTGCAGGGATATGCAACTGGTGAAAAATCCCTCATTTTTTGAGCATTCTTTGCTCCTAGCACTCCACTTTTTTTTTGTAATGCACATTGGATATTGTAAACAAGTTATAGCAAATAATATTGGCAAAGTATTGGGTACATATGACATGCGAGAAGGAAAGTTTTTGAAACTGGGCCTGTGACACCCATCAAACAACCAGGAATGAAGTGCAATTAGATATTATGGTTTAAGGAATGGATGGAGGACAGAGATAAAATATACATGGTCCTTACTACTGAGTTAGAGAGAGGTACAGTGAGTGGATGGAGTTCTATGAGCTGAAAACAGGATACAGAGTGACGATAAAAACAAAAGGAATGTTGGAACGTCGGCAGCATATGCCGCAGCTTGGCAGACCAACACAGACAAATGGAGTGCGAATTTGTTTGGTGTAGAATGAGATGCCTCCCTCACGACCTAAGGCGGGGCGACACACTTGCTTTGAAGCTCTCCGAAAAGTGCCACTGAAAACATGCAAGGTGGATGACAAAACTGAAGCTCAAATAGAGAAAGCTCGAGAAGAATTCTTACAAAATTGATATCCAACGCACAAGGCTGCTGCATTAGCGAATGATGTCCCCTACCATACATTTGTACGCCGGATGAAATTACCCAAGAAGAGGGCCCACGATAACCAGACACTGCTCAACTGGTCAGAAAAGAAGGCATTGGTGGAATGGGTGAAATATCTCGGACTTACAGGCCATCCAGTGAACAAACACACAATACGTCCAAAGGTCCAGGCCATCATGAGGCAAAATGGGAAGGTTGTGAATGCCAAAACAGTTTCGAAGTCTTGGATCCGAAATTTCTTGAAGGAGTTTGACAATGATCTCAGGCTTGGGCAAGGGTCTGGCTTGGATCCTAAATGGGCACAGGCATTCAATTACACCACTGTTCATCATCGTTTCAAACTCCTGTCCAACTACTTGAAGGACAATGACATACCTTGGGAGAATGTGTATAACATGGATGAGAAGGGTGTTCAGCTAGGTGGAGGAAGGAAGAACTCGCAAATCCGATATTTCTTCTCGAGAGATGACCGTATGATGTACAGAGGAAAGAGTGATGACTTGGAGCTGGTGACAATCTTGGACTGTGTTTGTGCAGACGGCACTGCAGATGTTAAGCCAGGATTTGTGTTTTCTGGGGTGGGGAAATTCGGGGAATGGTTCGAAGTACATGATGACATTGTGCAAGTTATCTTAATGTTTATCAAATTTGTCCTGACTGCGGGTTTGAAGAATTGCAACATCTGAGGCTGGATGGACAGATGATGAGGTTTGCTTCGAATGGTTCGCACAAGGATTCGTACCTCAAGCAACTGCACCGAATAAGTCCGGCAAACCAATCCTTCTCATCTACAATGGCCACCAATCACACACAAACTCTCGTTGGATTGAGCATGGCTTGATGAATAATGTACACCTGTACTGCCTTCCTCCACATACTACACATCGTCTCCAACCACTTGATGTTGGTTGTTCGGTCCCTTGCAGACAGCTTGGTTCAACCATTGCGACGAAATTTTGGCAGAAACGGGGGTGTCGATGGATCTTCGCAATGTGGTGAAGGAGTACATGGCGGTCCAGATCTTTCATTCAAAGAATCTACTATTAAAACAGCCTGGCAAAAATCTGGAATCAACCCACTGAATCCAGAGATATTTAGTGAAGCAAATTTCGCACCTAGTATTGCAAGTTCCACCAGAATGCAGCTTCCTGCTTCTTACCCCACACGACTTCCTCATGGACCAGATATTGCCTCCTCTGATGCTGAATTCAATGGCAAAGTACTTGAGGGAAGAGAAAGGAGAAGAAACGAAAGAGGCAGTGATTCTGATTACCGCACTGATGAATCATCATCGGAATTATCTGATGAGTCCGACGATTCAGAAGAACCTTCTTGTCATCGTTCATTATCTTCTCCACAGGACAGAGATGTCAATACGCAGTCTACACCACTGACTCAAAGCCACCAAATCAGTAATCAACAGGTGCCCATGACTCCGACTGCAATACCACTCACTCCATCAATCTCTTCGACTCCCACTCCATCCATTCCTGACCCCTCTGGATCCCACTTCCATGCCACCATATCGCTTCGGGAGATTGAATTAATGCGCTGAGTCACTGACTTGGAGCGTGACCTTGCAATTACCAAGGCCAAGCGTGATGCAGCAACTGTATACGCTGTTTGCTCCGGTCAAGAGGCTTCAATTTACAAACATCGTTTGAATAGCCGCCCAAACAAAAAGGACACATCAAAGAGATTCCCCATCTTGGCACGCGTGGTTACTTCGAGGGATGGGAGGATTCAGGCAAAGGAGGATGATGTTCGTAGGCAGGCAAAGGTGCAAGCTGACGAGAAAAGGGCTCGAAAGAAGAAGGACAAGGAGAGGGATGATATTATTTGCCGTGCTGCTGAGGAGAAGGAGGGCACTGAGTTCGAAGGCTCTCTCAACTCAAAAAACAAAACCAAGCTCGAGGATATTGCATTTTCTCTGGGACTCGATATTGATGCCACGGCAATTGTACTCAAAATACGAATTGATGTGCATTTCAACGCTACACCATCATTGAAGCAGGATCCTCGATATATGGGTCTTTTTACTCGCAAATGGAAGCACGCTCCAGTTCTCAGTGAGAATGATGATATTCGGCCTTCATCGAGTTGGCGGCTGTTGTCAGCAAACCCTCAATCCCCATCGCCGTCTTCTTATTTCCTGCATCATTGCTCCCATTCTCCACCATCACACTATCATTCACCTTCCCCGTTACTTAATTCTAACTTCCCGCACCGCCAATTTGGCTCTACTGTCAATAATCTCATATCATCATTGTCTTCCACTCATCTGAGCAACAATGCTTTCCCTCCGTCCTCTTTCCCTCACTACAATCTCAATATGTCACCTACTCCGATTATACCTCGACCTAGACCAATACCTTCACAACCTCATTCCAGTACATCTACTGCACCTCATACCTCTTCCTTCCCTCATATGTACATACCCTCTTACCACCATCCCTTTACCTCACATTATGATACTCACTTAAGTACATATTCTCAGCCAGAGACCCCTTCGAATAATACATGATGTGTTCTGTTCGTACCCCATCGAGTTCATAAGATTCACTGCCGTGATTAGACTTGATGCCGCTATGATGCCGCCGTGCCGCCTGAGCGCTAAGACGTGACTTCTCTGTGACCGAGCAGTTGCATATCCTTAATTTTACTCGGTCATTGCCCGACACTGGCAGAAAATTCGATAAAAATACCATAAATTCAAGGAAAGAGCTCTGAATGGTAGGCAGTAGATCTATCTATTTTATTTTACCAGAAGTGCAATGGTTCAGACGGGACAGAAGATCCCGTCTTAATTTGCTTATCTTAAAATACCATAGTAGGGCCCCAGAGGGGTACACTAGTCTTTCAACGAAGTCTAGCCTTTTTTTCTATGGTTACCGCGTACGATCGATCATCAGCGGCTGCATGAGGCCTTCCATCGCATCCATATAAATCGTCCATAGGATCAAGAGAGGGATTTGTGAGCTTGACAGCCTTCCGGGCTCGACCCTGCTTACATTATCTACCTCCAGAGTTATCTCTTATCCTTCCCTGTTTTGACACAAGGACGCAATTTGGGTGCCCGATAGCAGCCGATGGCCAGCAATTTAGGATTCAATCTGATCCAATGTTTTACAATATAGCACTTGTCCCTCCCTTAGGCTCCCTGCATTATTAGTATATCGCCATCGGCCGTCATACTTCTTTCTTTTCCTGTTCCTAATAACCGCCCTCAGTCTACATAGCCCTTCAAATTAATCAAAGCTCCAGTACCTGGGTTCGAGAAAATTCTGGTGCTGAGAACGTTTAAACTGAACGATGATGCAGGGGAGGAGTGGCGAGGAGTGGCTAAGGCCTGCTAAGGCTAGGTATGATCATGACCTTGGTATGACCAGGTATGACCCTTGTTAGGTTCTGCTAAGTTCTACATTGTTATGGTATCAAGTATTTCATCAACTCATCAAGGCTATCAAGGCTATTATTGGCTCAGATCCTCAGGAGGATTTATATCAAGGTGCCCATCCGAGTCAAGGGAGCTGTTAGGGGAGCGAAAAAAGGGTATAAAAGGATCATGGGATTGTAGGACACTTTCCCTCAGGCTGGCCCTCTTACCCACATCGACGACGACATCTCACATCATAACTTTTCTTACTTTGACACATACACCACCACCAATAACTTTGACGACGATACTATGAAGTTCCTCACTCTCGCCGGCTTCTTCCTCCTGCTTGTAGCCGGAGCCATGACGACCGTCGACGCCGCCACAGATGCAGAGAAAGCTTGCGGGTTCGCACGCAAGATTGGTAGTCCATGCTCGATCAAGCTTGATGGGCAGCATTCTGTCCCTGGAAGTCAGTCATTTAGTTTTGTCTTCCTTCACCGCAGATGTCCCAGAATATTGATACATGTTATTCTTCTTCCTCTCTTCATTATCCTACGTTACGCTTGATAGCTTGTCAGAAAAAGTCAGGGCCCAAACTGTTCCGCCACAGGACGTGTATCCCCAATGGCACGGCTAGTAGTACTGGTAGCAGCACTGCTGCAGGTGCTCCTCCCGCAGCAAGCGCTACCTCTTCCCCAGACACGAGCTCGACATCCACTGGCGCTGGTGCAGGGGATGGAACGGATGGGTGAGTGTACGAACTTGTTCCAAGTTCTCCAGTTGCTTTCGTTACTGGTTTCACTGATATATATCAATCTCTTTTTCGCGTCGGAAGAACAAGCTAAGCTCCAGAGTAATTTCAACTGCAGAGCAGTGTGGTGTATGTTTCTTCACGCTTTTGCGCACCGTTGCTCCTTCTTCGAGACATTTACGATTTAGAGAGCTGAAATTCTGTTTTATGCGACTAGTTGTTGTTAAATTGTATTTGGTTCCTCAAAATGTTGATAAATTCGACTTTTTGTGTGCTCTTAAGCCTAGCGTTAGGCCAACTCGGAAGACGACACACTGCACAAGAGGAATACTGTGGTCATTAACAGTGAGAGGGAGGATATATCACGGGTGAATGAGACAAAACTGAAGCACTGAACGTTGGAGGTCTCACTAGCAAGATTCAGGCCAAGATGAGATTCCAATATCTGGGAAAAGTATGCACACATACTGTTTGAAGATCTTGAAACTTGAGTCTTTTGCAGAAATGTTTCGTCGTATTCCCGACCTTGGCTAAGAAAAGGGCGCGGAAAGAGTCGGGGAGAGCGCTTTGTTAGGCGTTTGGAGCGAAGAGTAGTGGTGATGGTAGTGTTGAAGGAGGAGCCGAATAAACCCATGTCTGTATTCACGCATCCATTTCCCAGTTCAAGTTTTCCAGAGTTCTTCTTGAACAGCCTTGGCCTTAATGTCAATACGGTTCGTCGACATACTTGCCACTTCAATATTTATTCCAGGACGTTTCAGGATCCACAACTCCGATTTTGAATTTGTTGACCATACCCGGTGAGCACTTCGGGATGAACATCGACTCGAATTCACTGTGATAGCAAGTGGCAATTACCAAGCCTTCAGGAATTTGCTAAGTACCTTAAAACATATCCCCCCTCCTCCTTTATTCACAAATAGTTCCTCCTGCATGTAGCGCTCTTAATCTAACTCGTGCGCATTGGAACTCCGGTCCCCGTTTTCGAATGGAGCGGCGCGTTCATGTCTCTATGCCCTTCCCGCATATACTCACAAACCTCCGAATCCTGACGTCCTCCAGTCAGAGTTTTGAATGCTTAATGGAATGATTTATTTATTAACTTATGCTGACCTCGGACAAAGTAGACCAAGGCAAGGTCAAAGCCCGGGGTTTCCTTTGAATATCTGCTATTGATAGGTGTTGAATCAGCGAATTGTATGGCGGGAACAACTAGTATAAAGGGAACTAGAGATGGGAGGGTATGTCCCCCAGGCTGGCCCTCTACACAACGTCTACACACGCAGATTCTTCAAGTTTTACGCCCCCATTTGAATTTGCTACTCACCTGCAAATATCTTCCTCACAACACTTGTTCCTATAACTAAAATCATGAAATTCTTCGCCGTCGCTAGCTTTTGCTTGCTTATCATAGGAGCTACCACCGTCAACGCTGCAACAGATGCAGAGAAAGCTTGTGGGTTCACGAAGAAGGTGGGCACACCGTGTGTGCTAAAGCTTGATGGCGGCCATACTCTTACTGGAAGTGAGTCACATTCCTTGAAATAAATGATCCTATGGAGGCTCACCATTCTTCAGCATGTCAAAAGAAATCTGGTATCAAAGTCTTCCGCCACCGCACATGTGTACCAAACAGTGGCGCGACATCCACTGGGGCAGATAGCACATCCTCATCGGGTGCTGCAACCTCACCATCGACTTCATCAGACACAACGTCGTCAAGTGGTGATGCCACGGCTGCTGGTGCCGCTGGGAATTCAGCTAACGGGTGAGTACTGGAGTGATCTATGCAATTTCCTCATTAATTTGCTGCTCAGAACCGCAAGTCCCTAATGTTGTCGCGCAAGATATCGATAGGACTACAGCCTGAATTTTGTTTCCCACTTGCGCCGCTTCAAGAACGGGGCAAAGAAGGAGGAGCGTACTTTGAATGAGAGAAATTTGGCGTATGCGTACATGTTGTTGATTAGATCAGTCAGGCAATGTCGATTTTTGCTTTGAAAGAAGAGGGGATCAAAAAGGTTCCTTTGGCGGACGTTCATGCATCGGCCTGTTCTAGCCTGTTCTCATTCTTATTAGGCACAATGTCATCATACAGGCTCATGGTAAGTAGGAGGCTGTGGGATTGAAAAAGGCCGTGCAGAGGGATGGGAATCCAAGACAAGCCAAGACATGCACCGGCGAAAGATAGCGACATTCAATTACACCTTGTTCAAGGCAAAATCTTATAAAGTTCTGGCTCATATTTAGCAACGAAAAACGCAGAAGCTACAATTCACCTGGTGAATATAATGGTGGTATCTTTCGGAGGATAAAAGGGAGTTATTTTTATTTTTATCCCTAATCAGTGATCATCCATCACGTCGGCAATCGTGAAGAGATTTATATCGCACTGCAGGACAGGTATAAAGCGGGCCCTGTTTTGCAAGCGACATCCCCCAGGCCGGTCCTCCCACAACTTTGACACACTCAAATTCTTTTGCGAACCACCCCTACTACCCACCATGAAGTTCTTCGTTACCGTCGGTTTCCTGTTGATCGCCATGAACGCTGTTCTATCCGTCAACGCGTTATTTTCTTCAGCAGCAGTAAAGGCTTGCGGGCATGTAGGCAAGAGCCACATAGGCAAGGCATGCTCGTATTCCGTGAAAACCAAGAACGGTCATATGACTGTAAGCGGAAGTGAGTATCCAGCGCTTCAGCTTGAACCCGGACGGAGACTCATATCCATTTCTCTTGCTTAGCTTGTTCGGAGAGGAGCGACATTCACTTCTCTCTGAGTATAGACGGTGTAGTCACGCCCGGATGACAGGCCCGGGAAAATTTGATCGGACTTGGACGATGCTGATTTCGGCCGAATTAGCATCGTCCCTCTCAATTACAATCACGTTACTCTTTATTTCCGTTCTCACCATGGGTTGGCCGTCGTTTCGCCTTTCCCTCTCTTTATATTTACCTCCGTTAACGCTATTAACACTCGGCGTCCCTGGCAGCTCGATCAGCAATGGCGCTGTTGCCGCCGCCGGCTCCCTCTCTTCCCTCATCGCCGCCTTCAACGACCTCGATCCAGAATACCTCGCAGTTGTCCGCACCACCCTAGACTCACAAGAACTCGCGCTTTCTCTTCTCGAAATGCAGTGCCAACAAGCCCTCGACGCTATGGATATCGACGGTCCGAGTGCGCACTCTCCTACGGCTCTTCCCAGTGAAGAAATTGAGATAGACGGCCAAAAATTCAAAATTGTCTATCCATCTGAGCCTCAGCCTTCCGACACTCTCGCGCTTCCTGGCAGTTATGAAAAAGATACTGGTGTGTTCCATGTAACATACAGAGACCTGTGCGCCCTCTTGTTCTTATCTTGCCCTGCTATATTCACTGATCTATGAATTTCCAGCAACACTTTGAAACGCTCAGCGCTCATCGAAATCTGCAAGAAATACGAGCTGGGTACCCAAGGTAATATGCAGGTCTTGAAAGAAAAACTCATTGGGTTTAGTGAGAATAAAATACGTTGGCAATGGTATGTCTTTCAAAGTTGTAGAATCACGTTTGTTTAACCTTTCCTCTCAGTCTCATTCCTGTTGCTCGACGCGCTCATCGTGGAGTACGTAGCGGAGGTATCACCAAGAATAAGCCCGCGAACAAAGAAGGCCCTGCTGCTATCCTGTCCAAAGCCAAGAAGCTCAAACTTTCGACAGTGCGAAGGAATGAGATGATGGGACTGCCCCTAGATGCCCCGCTTGGTGCTCAGCTGTCCGATACCAAACGCTCGAAAGACATGCGTACACTGGAACAGAAGAACAGGCTTCTTAGCTGGGTGAGTCTTTCTCGATGTTTCAAAGACTTGCTGACCATTCATATGTAAACACATCTAGGCAAAGGCATTCTGTGACAAGCATCCGTATGTAACGCGAGAGGAGCTTGCGCGAAGACGGAAAATCAAAGAGGAGGAGAGGGCGAGAGAGAATGCTACCAGTACAGTACGTAGCTCTTGGCTCTTTTTCTTTTCTCCGACATTGATTGGTGCTCGAGTATAGGCTAAAGTAGCACAATACATGCACTCAATGATCGAACATGTTTCCAACCTTCGAGTCGAGATTCAAACACTCAAGACCGGGCTTCCACCCCCATCGCTTTTGCAAGCACCTTTGCCCGTTCTTGCACCGCTTTTGACAACTCCTGGTCCGTTCTTCTTTTCTAGGTTCCTTATGGCTAACATATACCTACCTACCTTCCTTCCTAGCACTGTACAACGTACCCCCACCTTTCAACAGCTCTCCTGACTGCATCACCGCAGCTCATGTACTGCCTTTGGACCTCAGAACAACGAACACCAGATTACAAACACTGGTCGGCAGTACTGTGACAGGCGCATCCCCTGGTTTTGGTAATGCTCGCACCCCTGTCAACAACGGCGGCACCTTAAACGGCACCTCACCTCAAAACGCCAGTACGTCGAATGCCAATACTAGCAGCACTGCAAGCATCAATGAGCATGAGAAAGTTTACATGGTCACAGTGGGTTTCGGAAAAATCATCAGGTATAAGGAACGTGACCTACGTGAGCCCCCCTCAATTACATTTGCCACCAACATATCCCGACTCGACCGCGTTTGGGACGATGAGCAGCCTAGTTGGGATCCTGAGGACTGTGGCACGAATTTGCTGAGCATCAACGGGGCGCCGATTGCACTTCGATATTGGCGGGACGTTTTTAGTGGCAAGAAAAATAGTGTTTGGGCAAGCTTAAAGAAGCTTTGGTCAGAGTGGAAGGTAGATTCCTTTCTTTCAATCATTTGCTTTATTGATATGTTCCCTCTCAACAGTATGTTGCTGAGCGTTACCGTGCTAGCAGCCCCGATGAGTTCTGGAAGGAGTTCTCATTTAATGATGGCCGACGTTTCCACTGGAAGGCTATCTCTGACCAACTACGTGTCCTTCGGAGCAAGCACGAGCAACAGCTGGTTGATCAAGCTAAGGCTGAGTACGGTATTGATTTTGCAAGGGTGTTCGTCAACAACAGAGGAAAAGTGCTTACTGATAAATCGGCAATTTCTCGCCACTACCTTGATAAGCTCGCAAAACGTTTAGCATAACCACCTTTGTCTATGATTTTATAATAAAATACGACTACGTTTTCGAAAAATGACATTTTGTTTTCTAAGCACAATGACAAGAGCGGTTGCAGGTAGGACAGACTTTCGCAGGCGCACGCTTCATGTTGAAGAAATCATCTCGATCGACATGAGGGTTGTCGTTCCATGAAATAAGGTACTTGACGATGGTCAAGTGCGTAAATTCTTGACTCCAGCCCCCCCATTCACAGATTTGACGCAAAGGCCATCGACGCTCAACCGATAACCACTGGCATCCACCGCGTCTAAACGAGTGAGTTCCGTAGGGAACAAAATCAACCCCCACATCGAGCAAGTTGTTTCGAAACATCTCCAGGAATTGTTCCGATGTCTGAAGCTCATAAGAAAGTAGAACGATACAGTGTGCAACTACTCACCATAGGTTCATTTTCTTCAGCAATACGATCATTGGCACGGATTTTTCGGAAGAGATATCCTTCGGTCAAGCCTGATGCAAGAATCCATCGAGCAAATGCACGCACAACACATATGTGCTGATATTCGTCTGGCATTTCATAGAACACAAACGGTTTGATGTCTGAAAATATTAAGATGCAGTACATTGAACTATCACTGCGTAAGACATGTTACTCACCTCCGAACTGGCTAGTCTTGCGAAAGGGAAGCTGTAAACTGAGTTTACTTTCCCCAGTCAGAGGGTTCTCGGTCAACGTCAAATCTTGCAGCTGGATTTTCAGGAGCTCATCGACACGGAGTAGACCACAAAAGGCTAAGCTGTAGCCAAGGTCCATTGATGCACGTGAATGAGGGCCTAGTTCGCCTTTGCGAGCTGGTTGAAAACTGCTTTGGAACGTCTGAGGAACTTGATATCGAGGCTGACTATTGAAGTGGTAAAGATCCTCCAATAAGTCCTAGAAGTTGGGTGAATATTAATTTCCAAGTTCTGATAAGAAATGTTTACAGAAGACACAGCTCGAGCACTAATGGGAGTATCCCCCTTCTGCGTCTGATAATTTATTGTGTCATCAAATGATGATATATGCAGTACAAATGAAAACCTTACCTTGCGGCGGCGAAGACTAAGCATGTAAGTAGAAACCGTCTCGGAGACTGAAGGGTTACCCAGCATCTTGCCCGAAATTTCGCTTTGGTGCCATGCCTGCATCCCTAAGCCGTGTATTTTTCCGAACCCAAATGTTGCAGCAGCTCTCATCTTCTGTGCATGTGTGTAGGTGGAGCGTTCCTCCAACACAGGGGTACCGTCGAGCTTGATAAGGTCACACCTACAAGATTTGGTGAGCCCTACTCAAACATAAAAGCTGCAAGTTGCCCTACGAATCCATGATCCAAGCTACAATGTATATTGCAGCTTGAGGGTGTGGGTTGTCGGAGAAGAATTGGGACCCTTCGGAGACCATTCCATGCTCTACAAGGAATGCTTGACATTGTTTCATCAAGCTGAAAGATATTAGCTGTTATTTGTATTCACTGTGTTGCACTTACCGTAAATATTCTTGAGAGGTTTTCTCAGAGACACCTTTTGAGGCTTCCCGAACAGCATCACCAAGACCAGACATATCGACTTCGAGCTGGTCATGGCTTTCCTCTAAATCGTCTAGGACATCGGCTGGATCCAAATGTTTATCTTGTGTGATTGTTTTCAGCAGCCCGGTGTAGCCTTCATCGGTTGAGATGTCGACGCTCATGGCAGTAGAATGGCAAAAGAAAAAGGGGGGAATGTCGACTTTTATAGGAGCTCTTATCAAGGCTGTGTAGCTGCAACTCAGCAAGAACTCGGTTAGCCTTCCCTGCAATACAAGAGTAGGTATAGCAGCAGAAGGTTTATTTTTCTTCGTCTTGCACTTATCTCAAAAAACATGAGGAATACATGCGATTATATTTGTGTGATCAAGATACATTTCTATGGAATTACTGGCGACGGGCACGTTTAGATGGATGTAGTGTTTCAGAAGACTCCTCAAGGTCCGAAAGGTCACTTACTTCATCCAGGCCAGCTGCAGTACGAGCTGTACCCCTCCAATCACCCCTGCAAAGGTCTGCCCATCGCGTGAATTTCTGCAGGCTTAATCTCCACCGTGACGCCCGCGCTGCTTCCCGTTCTGCCCGTTCTTCAGCAGTAGCCTTTTCTAAGAACGATTTGTCTGGTTGAAAGCCGTTGTTGCGCCATCGGAAAAGACCGCCGGAGGAGTACTGTATCATTGCATAGCGGGTCTCATGTGCTTGGATGGGAATAGTAGAGTGGGTGATAAGTGCAGAGGGAAAGAGGATTGTGGAACCGGGAGGAAAGCGGATAATGAGCCCGAGGTCCCAGAGTACAAGGTGCCCACCTTTGTCAGGGTCAAAGGGTCCCATGTTAGTGTCAGCGCACCAGCTAGAGGCGCGGTTATCGGGGTCCATGTGAGGTGGAGAAAATGAGAGGGGGCCCAGGTTGAAGGTGGCAGCGGCAAATGCAGTGTTTGGGAAGTTAGCTTGCAGCTCTGGCTGCTTGCATTGAATTTCGTTGTTCGTATCTCTATGTTCTATATAATTTTTGTGACAGAACGTGTTGAAGAGAGCTAGTAAGAGCTCCGTTAATATCCAAACTGACGAAAAAGAAAAAATATCAGACCGTTTTGGAAACCTGAGATGCGCCGGATGGCTTTGTTTCGAAGAAGCTCTTGCATGGCGTTCCGATTAGCCTGACTGGAAACTCTGTAGTTCTGCGGTTTGCGCCGCCCGTTACCATAGCCGTAGCCAACTGTTCGAGAAGCAAAATTGCCACGCCGGCCATGTCTCTGTGCCTTGGTGAACGTACTGGCTTCACGGCAACGAATAGCAGCAGCAGCAGCATCAGCTTCCACTGCCTGCCATTCTTTCCCCTTGGATCCGTGAGGAACGCCGCCAAGGACTGCGATGATTCGGTCTCCAGCGTCAACAAGCACAATGCAACTCCTGAAAAGGCATTAGTGATAGGCGTGTGTTTAAAAGAAACAACACACGCACTGTCCATCCCATCGAAGAAGCTTCAGCCCACTCAGCGAGCTCAGGGCATCCAGGTTTTTCCAAACCCTCTGCAGTCCAGGGGAGAGCTTTTTGCGAGGGTTAGCGTTCCAGCCGCTTGACGAGACTGGGAGACTGGAGGCGTCGAAGTCTTCGAGTTCAATGGGCTGAGCTCCTTTAGCTAACTCAACGACAAAGGGCTTTATGCGCCTGCTCGCAACACGTTCAACAGCTTCAGTGGCCCGTTTTTTGCGCGAACGTTTCGTCAGCTTCGCATACTTCTTGTTATTCCGAGATGATGAGGGAGGGCTGCCGGAAGGATTGGTCGTGAAAGCCGGTTCCGCGCAGGCCTCTTTGTCGTCTTCCTGGTCCTTGTCCTCGTCCTCATCCTTGCCCTTATCCTCGTCCTCGTTCTCATCCTCGCCCTCAAACTCTATCTCTCCATCCTCTAAGAGCTCCCCAGCATCTTCAGCAGCCATCCGCGCGTTGTTGTCGGCCTCGAGAGCAGAAGATAGGTTAAAAGAAGGGAATTTTATGCGAGCGGTGGGAACGGTGTGGCCTGTGCGTAAAAGTGAGTTCAAGTCGCGTCAATTGGAAGGATCAAAGGGAAGGGGCTTTTATTTGAGGTGACGGTGTCTTTAAGCGTAACCTAGAACGAATTTTCAGCCAACAGAGCCTTGCCTAGATGATGGGCTGGGCGTCCGTTGGCTAGAAGATTCGGACTAGGGGCAGAAGGAGGAGGTGTGGTAATGAGAGAAAGTGCTCACCTAAATCGGAGGCCATTTTGTAAGAGTAACTGTTGGTGGTGATGGAAGGTGTAAGGAAGATCAAGACGAGGGAAAGACAATCAACAGAGACGCGTGATGGCGGTTAAGCGCGCGCGGTCTGCCGTATTCCGTTTAAGCGCGCAGTCTGTTGTGTTCCGTTTAAGTGCGCGCTGCAGTTGTTATTCTACATTTTTCCCAGCTGCCCCAATGAAAGCTCTACCTCCAAGCAAGCTTGAAAACTTCCCATGCCCAGAACCGTATTGGTAGCTCCAGCCTTTTTCAAACGTATATGGATCAAACGGGAACCCCATAAGCATTGTTCCTCCTCATTCTACCTCGGACCTCAGCCAAACCTGCTTCAATCCTCCATATACCTCTGCGACTTCTTCACCAATATCCGCTTTTCTGCAATGCGATTGGGAGCCGTCCAAACAACGCCCACAATCAACACCACAGCTGCCTAGAGATGTCCAAGTTCGTGACAAGCACAGGTCCCTGGTCTGTGCGTAGACTCTTTTCTCCATCGCTTCATCTCAGACTGATAGGCAATAGGTCGTCAGGTTAAGCACAACGTCCTCAGGACATCCCTCCAGTTTTCTTTACCATTTCCTGTACCGCCGTTCCCAAAACAATTTCGGTCAACCTCAAAGAGAAGTTGTCGAGCTCAATCTCCATCCATTCGCACCCCATCTCCATCTTTTTTTGCCACAGAAGTTCACACCGAACGTAACTCGGTTCCTGGTCCTAGCAAACCCGTACCCGCGAAGTTCTTTGATGCCCCAGAGCTTCCGGGAACGCCTTCCGACGGCGCTTTGTTTTGGAAGCCAATTGTTCAGCCCTGTATCTCGGAAACTGTTCAAGTGGGCGACCCCTTCAAGGACGAAACAGAACCGGCTGGCCGGTTCATCGAAGTGTCCAAAGATAAACCCACGCATGCTTTATATTGGAACAGGCGCCATCCGATTTACAGCTTTCTTCAAGAGCAAAGGACCATTTTCGACGCCGGTGCCTCTACCTCACCCTCTTCCTCCACCACTACTACGCCCATGCCGAGCCTTCTTAGCAATGCTTAACCTTGTGTTAAAGTTTGCTCATGGCCCTGCCGTCGCTCAAAGGATACACTGTGCCAGATGTCATGAGGGCAGGTTCTGCGTTCTCCGAAGGTCGGTGTTTACGTTCTGGCGCAGGCCCTCTGGTTCCTGATCCTGCTCGCTCGCTTTGGCAGGTTCTCCGCCTGGTGATGGTACGGCACAACCGCCTTGCTTCAAGCATAGCTACAACGGATGGGTATACTGCTATTGCTGTTCTGTTTGGAATACCTTCGCGACACGGAGTGGAATAGCACCTTCGTGCCCTTCTTGGATGTGGGCCACACTTTTTGGAAATCAAGAATTGTCTACTGAATTATCGATTATTCTGTCCTATGCATATTCAATTGCGTTGTTGTATTTGGCTGATCTTTCTCTTCGTTAATCTTTGTTCTCCTATGCAATAGATACACCGAAACCATGTACTGCATTGAATTGAATGTTCACCTACAAACCATTGACTCCTTTCTCTAACACGTACCGAGATTTCTTACTGCTGACTTTATTTGGTGCTATTTATAAGCACCCCTATTGCAAAATTACACCTCGTTCTCTACCGCTATCATTACTTTTGCTATGGGAGTCAGAAATCTTTGGCCTGTGGGTTTACCACTACTGTTGAAAGCATCAGGACTGACTATTTTGCAGCTTGTCGATGGTGCTGCTGTGACTATCAAATTGAGAGACTTCATGGTGGATAATGGATTTATTACGGATCACTATCGTTTGCGTACTACATTGATTGGTGTAGATATTAGGTGAGTGCAGGCATTCTATATGAGCAAACTTTTCAATTCAATGTGGACTAGCATCTTTCTTGATGCTTTCTGCGCTGCTGATAGGGCAGTAAATCAAATGCATGCAACCACCTCTCCGCTTTCTCAGCTATTCAAGTTTTTATGTTACTTATCGCAAGCGGGTGTCCATGGTATCTTTGTCTATGATGGGGAAGAGCGCTCCCGAATTAAGCGAGGCCGCCAGGTTATCACGAGGGAACCGGGCTACTATACACAAGCTAGAGTTCTGATAGAGGCGTTTGGTTACTATGCTCACACTGTAAGTATACAGATAATGGAAGGTATATTCTTGACACTAAACTCACGCAGGCTCTGGTGAAGCTGATGCTGAACTAGCAGAGATGTGCAAAAGGGGCCTTGTTGATGCTGTTTTTACTAAGGATAGCGATCTTCTTCCCTTTGGCGCTCCTCGCATCTTCCGACCCCTGCGCATGTGAGTGCTGTACAACAGGATCATATGTATCTATCAAATTGCTCACATAGAATTATAGAGATCATAAGCCCCGGAATTTCAAGACTTCGAAACAGTTCTCATGTAAACGCCGAGTCAATTGAATCACATCTAGAACTTTCGCATGCTGGTCTCATCTTGATCTCCCTACTCTTGAAAAATGAATACAGCGACGGTTGTGAATGGCATCGGCTCTGAAACAGCAGCAGGTCTTGCCAAATGTGGCTATGGAGACGATCTTCTCAACGCCCACAGATCCTTTCTACAATGCCTCAGCAACTTGCAGAGGCCTTTGGCCGACTCAATAACAATATGGCGGACGAAATCGAATTCAATACTCATCACAAGATCAGATATCGTAGCCCTTACAAGGCAAACGTGCTCCGCATATCCCAATTCCCATCACTTAGAGATCTATCAGCCCTCACGGCATTTCTGGAAACCTGTCACCAGCTGGTCCCGTATCCATGGACCATTCAAGAGCACCGAGCGCCTCGAAATGGCCACCCCGAACACCCGACATAATGGAAATCACCAAATTCTGTCGTTACAATTTGGTTGGCCTGACAAACATGCGCTCAAGAGATTTCACATTGACCTATGGCCAGCAGTCATCATGCGAATGTTAAGCTCTGTATGTTATTCATTCAATCTGTTGGTATCATGGACAATATAATTTATGGTCGGCTAGAAATTTCTTCGTTTCAAAGAGAAAGAAGCCGAGATTCTAGTTCCCCGGCTGCAGGGTACATTTGCGGTTGGCGCAAATGGAAAATCTTATCCATCTATGCTTTCTACCATAGTTCGCAACAAAAACTCACTGCGGCTACGAGGAATGAGAGCAAACGATGCCATTTCGACTACATTTTCTACAGAATTCTTTCTCCAACTCACTGGTCTTGCTAGCTCAGTCTCTGATACTTCCAGGAGAGTTGACGTCCCTGCCGCAATGATCGCAGTAGCATTGCAGCAAAGTGATCAGATCCGTGGACTGAATGAACGTCTTGGTAAGTTGTTCACTATATCAATCGTTCTAGAGTAAAACGGGCAGCTTAATTCTAGGTCCACCTCCGTCGCACATCATCCATGTTGAAATTGAAGTCCTTGAGCGCGGCAATGCATCTGGTAAGATTATCTGTCTTTGAGACGTCAACATGAAATACTGATTGCATCTTCGACAGGGAGTAGTCAGAATCACCAGGAAAACCCACCAAAGCGCAAGCATACTGGCACAAGCTTGAATGATAGAGATGAGCCCAAGCGTCTGCGTCCAATGCTTAAGGACCTCGGAGTGATCGAACTTACTGATAGTGAAGATTAAATATGTCTTCGAGGCAGCAATTGTGATTATTATATGTATGTAAAATTTTCCTTTGTAGAGATATAATGTAAGATAGAATATACAACATCGTATCTACCATATCTGAGAATTCAATGAATAGCAATAGTGGATTATTGCTCGAGGTGCTCTAACTATAAGCGATTCATTGACATCGTCTTTTTTTCCAGTCAAGAAAGCTTCGTATTTTTTTAAGCTTGGTGATTTGATAAAGAGACGAAATTGGTCAGGGTTCAGCAGACAGAGAGACCATTTCACGACAATAAAGGAGACGATTCACGGCTATACAGCCAAGGTAACCAGTTCCCCGTATCTAATATTCATATTCAGAATTACATACATGCGGCTAACTATTATACAGCAGATTGCATATTGACGTTTCATTTCCTTATACACATCTCCCCTACTGCTCTGTCTGCACCAGCTACACCTCGCTACACCTCCCCCACGAACCTCAAAAGCCTGCTCTGCCTGCCTGCACCAGCTAAACCTCCTCCCTCATAAACCTCAGCGATTGCAATGGAAACAGCCACCCAGTGAGTCCCTGCACGCATGTAGCATAATTGCGGCTCGAAGTTCAAGAACTTCGATGTTTTTTCACACCTTCACACAATAGACTGATAAGTTCAGCCTACACTACCGTGCGTGCTGGGGCAGGAGGAGGAGGCGAAGCATGAACATCGAATCGTTTGCTCCCGCCGCCGTCGATTGCCCCGCTCGTTGGCCGGAGCGCGTGGATCCGTCGGGTGATGCAGTGCAGTCCCTAAAGGGGACCTGTCATTACGCATCAGGTCACATCCCGTAACGATCCGTTATTTGATGTGACCTTCATGGTCTTTTCCGTTGGTCTCAATTGCACTTCTCTCTGAGTATAGACGGTGTAGTCACGCCCGGATGACAGGCCCGGGAAAATTTGATCGGACTTGGACGATGCTGATTTCGGCCGAATTAGCATCGTCCCTCTCAATTAACAATCACGTTACTCTTTATTTCCGTTCTCACCATGGGTTGGCCGTCGTTTCGCCTTCCCTCTCTTTATATTTACCTCCGTTAACGCTATTAACACTCGGCGTCCCTGGCAGCTCGATCAGCAATGGCGCTGTTGCCGCCGCCGGCTCCCTCTCTTCCCTCATCGCCGCCTTCAACGACCTCGATCCAGAATACCTCGCAGTTGTCCGCACCACCCTAGACTCACAAGAACTCGCGCTTTCTCTTCTCGAAATGCAGTGCCAACAAGCCCTCGACGCTATGGATATCGACGGTCCGAGTGCGCACTCTCCTACGGCTCTCCCAGTGAAGAAATTGAGATAGACGGCCAAAAATTCAAAATTGTCTATCCATCTGAGCCTCAGCCTTCCGACACTCTCGCGCTTCCTGGCAGTTATGAAAAAGATACTGGTGTGTTCCATGTAACATACAGAGACCTGTGCGCCCTCTTGTTCTTATCTTGCCCTGCTATATTCACTGATCTATGAATTTCCAGCAACACTTTGAAACGCTCAGCGCTCATCGAAATCTGCAAGAAATACGAGCTGGGTACCCAAGGTAATATGCAGGTCTTGAAAGAAAAACTCATTGGGTTTAGTGAGAATAAAATACGTTGGCAATGGTATGTCTTTCAAAGTTGTAGAATCACGTTTGTTTAACCTTTCCTCTCAGTCTCATTCCTGTTGCTCGACGCGCTCATCGTGGAGTACGTAGCGGAGGTATCACCAAGAATAAGCCCGCGAACAAAGAAGGCCCTGCTGCTATCCTGTCCAAAGCCAAGAAGCTCAAACTTTCGACAGTGCGAAGGAATGAGATGATGGGACTGCCCCTAGATGCCCCGCTTGGTGCTCAGCTGTCCGATACCAAACGCTCGAAAGACATGCGTACACTGGAACAGAAGAACAGGCTCTTAGCTGGGTGAGTCTTTCTCGATGTTTCAAAGACTTGCTGACCATTCATATGTAAACACATCTAGGCAAAGGCATTCTGTGACAAGCATCCGTATTGTAACGCGAGAGGAGCTTGCGCGAAGACGGAAAATCAAAGAGGAGGAGAGGCGAGAGAGAATGCTACCAGTACAGTACGTAGCTCTTGGCTCTTTTTCTTTTCTCCGACATTGATTGGTGCTCGAGTATAGGCTAAAGTAGCACAATACCATGCACTCAATGATCGAACATGTTTCCAACCTTCGAGTCGAGATTCAAACACTCAAGACCGGGCTTCCACCCCCATCGCTTTTGCAAGCACCTTTGCCCGTTCTTGCAACCGCTTTTGACAACTCCTGGTCCGTTCTTCTTTTCTAGGTTCCTTATGGCTAACATATACCTACCTACCTTCCTTCCTAGCACTGTACAACGTACCCCCACCTTTCAACAGCTCTCCTGACTGCATCACCGCAGCTCATGTACTGCCTTTGGACCTCAGAACAACGAACACCAGATTACAAACACTGGTCGGCAGTACTGTGACAGGCGCATCCCCTGGTTTTGGTAATGCTCGCACCCCTGTCAACAACGGCGGCACCTAAACGGCACCTCACCTCAAAACGCCAGTACGTCGAATGCCAATACTAGCAGCACTGCAAGCATCAATGAGCATGAGAAAGTTTACATGGTCACAGTGGGTTTCGGAAAAAATCATCAGGTATAAGGAACGTGACCTACGTGAGCCCCCCCTCAATTACATTTGCCACCAACATATCCCGACTCGACCGCGTTTGGGACGATGAGCAGCCTAGTTGGGATCCTGAGGACTGTGGCACGAATTTGCTGAGCATCAACGGGGCGCCGATTGCACTTCGATATTGGCGGGGACGTTTTTAGTGGCAAGAAAAATAGTGTTTGGGCAAGCTTAAAGAAGCTTTGGTCAGAGTGGAAGGTAGATTCCTTTCTTTCAATCATTTGCTTTATTGATATGTTCCCTCTCAACAGTATGTTGCTGAGCGTTACCGTGCTAGCAGCCCCGATGAGTTCTGGAAGGAGTTCTCATTTAATGATGGCCGACGTTTCCACTGGAAGGCTATCTCTGACCAACTACGTGTCCTTCGGAGCAAGCACGAGCAACAGCTGGTTGATCAAGCTAAGGCTGAGTACGGTATTGATTTTGCAAGGGTGTTCGTCAACAACAGAGGAAAAGTGCTTACTGATAAATCGGCAATTTCTCGCCACTACCTTGATAAGCTCGCAAAACGTTTAGCATAACCACCTTTGTCTATGATTTTATAATAAAATACGACTACGTTTTCGAAAAATGACATTTTGTTTTCTAAGCACAATGACAAGAGCGGTTGCAGGTAGGACAGACTTTCGCAGGCGCACGCTTCATGTTGAAGAAATCATCTCGATCGACATGAGGGTTGTCGTTCCATGAAATAAGGTACTTGACGATGGTCAAGTGCGTAAATTCTTGACTCCAGCCCCCCCCATTCACAGATTTGACGCAAAGGCCATCGACGCTCAACCGATAACCACTGGCATCCACCGCGTCTAAACGAGTGAGTTCCGTAGGGAACAAAATCAACCCCCACATCGAGCAAGTTGTTTCGAAACATCTCCAGGAATTGTTCCGATGTCTGAAGCTCATAAGAAAGTAGAACGATACAGTGTGCAACTACTCACCATAGGTTCATTTTCTTCAGCAATACGATCATTGGCACGGATTTTTCGGAAGAGATATCCTTCGGTCAAGCCTGATGCAAGAATCCATCGAGCAAATGCACGCACAACACATATGTGCTGATATTCGTCTGGCATTTCATAGAACACAAACGGTTTGATGTCTGAAAATATTAAGATGCAGTACATTGAACTATCACTGCGTAAGACATGTTACTCACCTCCGAACTGGCTAGTCTTGCGAAAGGGAAGCTGTAAACTGAGTTTACTTTCCCCAGTCAGAGGGTTCTCGGTCAACGTCAAATCTTGCAGCTGGATTTTCAGGAGCTCATCGACACGGAGTAGACCACAAAAGGCTAAGCTGTAGCCAAGGTCCATTGATGCACGTGAATGAGGGCCTAGTTCGCCTTTGCGAGCTGGTTGAAAACTGCTTTGGAACGTCTGAGGAACTTGATATCGAGGCTGACTATTGAAGTGGTAAAGATCCTCCAATAAGTCCTAGAAGTTGGGTGAATATTAATTTCCAAGTTCTGATAAGAAATGTTTACAGAAGACACAGCTCGAGCACTAATGGGAGTATCCCCCTTCTGCGTCTGATAATTTATTGTGTCATCAAATGATGATATATGCAGTACAAATGAAAACCTTACCTTGCGGCGGCGAAGACTAAGCATGTAAGTAGAAACCGTCTCGGAGACTGAAGGGTTACCCAGCATCTTGCCCGAAATTTCGCTTTGGTGCCATGCCTGCATCCCTAAGCCGTGTATTTTTCCGAACCCAAATGTTGCAGCAGCTCTCATCTTCTGTGCATGTGTGTAGGTGGAGCGTTCCTCCAACACAGGGGTACCGTCGAGCTTGATAAGGTCACACCTACAAGATTTGGTGAGCCCTACTCAAACATAAAAGCTGCAAGTTGCCCTACGAATCCATGATCCAAGCTACAATGTATATTGCAGCTTGAGGGTGTGGGTTGTCGGAGAAGAATTGGGACCCTTCGGAGACCATTCCATGCTCTACAAGGAATGCTTGACATTGTTTCATCAAGCTGAAAGATATTAGCTGTTATTTGTATTCACTGTGTTGCACTTACCGTAAATATTCTTGAGAGGTTTTCTCAGAGACACCTTTTGAGGCTTCCCGAACAGCATCACCAAGACCAGACATATCGACTTCGAGCTGGTCATGGCTTTCCTCTAAATCGTCTAGGACATCGGCTGGATCCAAATGTTTATCTTGTGTGATTGTTTTCAGCAGCCCGGTGTAGCCTTCATCGGTTGAGATGTCGACGCTCATGGCAGTAGAATGGCAAAAGAAAAAGGGGGGAATGTCGACTTTTATAGGAGCTCTTATCAAGGCTGTGTAGCTGCAACTCAGCAAGAACTCGGTTAGCCTTCCCTGCAATACAAGAGTAGGTATAGCAGCAGAAGGTTTATTTTTCTTCGTCTTGCACTTATCTCAAAAAACATGAGGAATACATGCGATTATATTTGTGTGATCAAGATACATTTCTATGGAATTACTGGCGACGGGCACGTTTAGATGGATGTAGTGTTTCAGAAGACTCCTCAAGGTCCGAAAGGTCACTTACTTCATCCAGGCCAGCTGCAGTACGAGCTGTACCCCTCCAATCACCCCTGCAAAGGTCTGCCCATCGCGTGAATTTCTGCAGGCTTAATCTCCACCGTGACGCCCGCGCTGCTTCCCGTTCTGCCCGTTCTTCAGCAGTAGCCTTTTCTAAGAACGATTTGTCTGGTTGAAAGCCGTTGTTGCGCCATCGGAAAAGACCGCCGGAGGAGTACTGTATCATTGCATAGCGGGTCTCATGTGCTTGGATGGGAATAGTAGAGTGGGTGATAAGTGCAGAGGGAAAGAGGATTGTGGAACCGGGAGGAAAGCGGATAATGAGCCCGAGGTCCCAGAGTACAAGGTGCCCACCTTTGTCAGGGTCAAAGGGTCCCATGTTAGTGTCAGCGCACCAGCTAGAGGCGCGGTTATCGGGGTCCATGTGAGGTGGAGAAAATGAGAGGGGGCCCAGGTTGAAGGTGGCAGCGGCAAATGCAGTGTTTGGGAAGTTAGCTTGCAGCTCTGGCTGCTTGCATTGAATTTCGTTGTTCGTATCTCTATGTTCTATATAATTTTTGTGACAGAACGTGTTGAAGAGAGCTAGTAAGAGCTCCGTTAATATCCAAACTGACGAAAAAGAAAAAATATCAGACCGTTTTGGAAACCTGAGATGCGCCGGATGGCTTTGTTTCGAAGAAGCTCTTGCATGGCGTTCCGATTAGCCTGACTGGAAACTCTGTAGTTCTGCGGTTTGCGCCGCCCGTTACCATAGCCGTAGCCAACTGTTCGAGAAGCAAAATTGCCACGCCGGCCATGTCTCTGTGCCTTGGTGAACGTACTGGCTTCACGGCAACGAATAGCAGCAGCAGCAGCATCAGCTTCCACTGCCTGCCATTCTTTCCCCTTGGATCCGTGAGGAACGCCGCCAAGGACTGCGATGATTCGGTCTCCAGCGTCAACAAGCACAATGCAACTCCTGAAAAGGCATTAGTGATAGGCGTGTGTTTAAAAGAAACAACACACGCACTGTCCATCCCATCGAAGAAGCTTCAGCCCACTCAGCGAGCTCAGGGCATCCAGGTTTTTCCAAACCCTCTGCAGTCCAGGGGAGAGCTTTTTGCGAGGGTTAGCGTTCCAGCCGCTTGACGAGACTGGGAGACTGGAGGCGTCGAAGTCTTCGAGTTCAATGGGCTGAGCTCCTTTAGCTAACTCAACGACAAAGGGCTTTATGCGCCTGCTCGCAACACGTTCAACAGCTTCAGTGGCCCGTTTTTTGCGCGAACGTTTCGTCAGCTTCGCATACTTCTTGTTATTCCGAGATGATGAGGGAGGGCTGCCGGAAGGATTGGTCGTGAAAGCCGGTTCCGCGCAGGCCTCTTTGTCGTCTTCCTGGTCCTTGTCCTCGTCCTCATCCTTGCCCTTATCCTCGTCCTCGTTCTCATCCTCGCCCTCAAACTCTATCTCTCCATCCTCTAAGAGCTCCCCAGCATCTTCAGCAGCCATCCGCGCGTTGTTGTCGGCCTCGAGAGCAGAAGATAGGTTAAAAGAAGGGAATTTTATGCGAGCGGTGGGAACGGTGTGGCCTGTGCGTAAAAGTGAGTTCAAGTCGCGTCAATTGGAAGGATCAAAGGGAAGGGGCTTTTATTTGAGGTGACGGTGTCTTTAAGCGTAACCTAGAACGAATTTTCAGCCAACAGAGCCTTGCCTAGATGATGGGCTGGGCGTCCGTTGGCTAGAAGATTCGGACTAGGGGCAGAAGGAGGAGGTGTGGTAATGAGAGAAAGTGCTCACCTAAATCGGAGGCCATTTTGTAAGAGTAACTGTTGGTGGTGATGGAAGGTGTAAGGAAGATCAAGACGAGGGAAAGACAATCAACAGAGACGCGTGATGGCGGTTAAGCGCGCGCGGTCTGCCGTATTCCGTTTAAGCGCGCAGTCTGTTGTGTTCCGTTTAAGTGCGCGCTGCAGTTGTTATTCTACATTTTTCCCAGCTGCCCCAATGAAAGCTCTACCTCCAAGCAAGCTTTGAAAACTTCCCATGCCCAGAACCGTATTGGTAGCTCCAGCCTTTTTCAAACGTATATGGATCAAACGGGAACCCCATAAGCATTGTTCCTCCTCATTCTACCTCGGACCTCAGCCAAACCTGCTTCAATCCTCCATATACCTCTGCGACTTCTTCACCAATATCCGCTTTTTCTGCAATGCGATTGGGAGCCGTCCAAACAACGCCCACAATCAACACCACAGCTGCCTAGAGATGTCCAAGTTCGTGACAAGCACAGGTCCCCTGGTCTGTGCGTAGACTCTTTTCTCCATCGCTTCATCTCAGACTGATAGGCAATAGGTCGTCAGGTTAAGCACAACGTCCTCAGGACATCCCTCCAGTTTTCTTTACCATTTCCTGTACCGCCGTTCCCAAAACAATTTCGGTCAACCTCAAAGAGAAGTTGTCGAGCTCAATCTCCATCCATTCGCACCCCATCTCCATCTTTTTTTGCCACAGAAGTTCACACCGAACGTAACTCGGTTCCTGGTCCTAGCAAACCCGTACCCGCGAAGTTCTTTGATGCCCCAGAGCTTCCGGGAACGCCTTCCGACGGCGCTTTGTTTTGGAAGCCAATTGTTCAGCCCTGTATCTCGGAAACTGTTCAAGTGGGCGACCCCTTCAAGGACGAAACAGAACCGGCTGGCCGGTTCATCGAAGTGTCCAAAGATAAACCCACGCATGCTTTATATTGGAACAGGCGCCATCCGATTTACAGCTTTCTTCAAGAGCAAAGGACCATTTTCGACGCCGGTGCCTCTACCTCACCCTCTTCCTCCACCACTACTACGCCCATGCCGAGCCTTCTTAGCAATGCTTAACCTTGTGTTAAAGTTTGCTCATGGCCCTGCCGTCGCTCAAAGGATACACTGTGCCAGATGTCATGAGGGCAGGTTCTGCGTTCTCCGAAGGTCGGTGTTTACGTTCTGGCGCAGGCCCTCTGGTTCCTGATCCTGCTCGCTCGCTTTGGCAGGTTCTCCGCCTGGTGATGGTACGGCACAACCGCCTTGCTTCAAGCATAGCTACAACGGATGGGTATACTGCTATTGCTGTTCTGTTTGGAATACCTTCGCGACACGGAGTGGAATAGCACCTTCGTGCCCTTCTTGGATGTGGGCCACACTTTTTGGAAATCAAGAATTGTCTACTGAATTATCGATTATTCTGTCCTATGCATATTCAATTGCGTTGTTGTATTTGGCTGATCTTTCTCTTCGTTAATCTTTGTTCTCCTATGCAATAGATACACCGAAACCATGTACTGCATTGAATTGAATGTTCACCTACAAACCATTGACTCCTTTCTCTAACACGTACCGAGATTTCTTACTGCTGACTTTATTTGGTGCTATTTATAAGCACCCCTATTGCAAAATTACACCTCGTTCTCTACCGCTATCATTACTTTTGCTATGGGAGTCAGAAATCTTTGGCCTGTGGGTTTACCACTACTGTTGAAAGCATCAGGACTGACTATTTTGCAGCTTGTCGATGGTGCTGCTGTGACTATCAAATTGAGAGACTTCATGGTGGATAATGGATTTATTACGGATCACTATCGTTTGCGTACTACATTGATTGGTGTAGATATTAGGTGAGTGCAGGCATTCTATATGAGCAAACTTTTCAATTCAATGTGGACTAGCATCTTTCTTGATGCTTTCTGCGCTGCTGATAGGGCAGTAAATCAAATGCATGCAACCACCTCTCCGCTTTCTCAGCTATTCAAGTTTTTATGTTACTTATCGCAAGCGGGTGTCCATGGTATCTTTGTCTATGATGGGGAAGAGCGCTCCCGAATTAAGCGAGGCCGCCAGGTTATCACGAGGGAACCGGGCTACTATACACAAGCTAGAGTTCTGATAGAGGCGTTTGGTTACTATGCTCACACTGTAAGTATACAGATAATGGAAGGTATATTCTTGACACTAAACTCACGCAGGCTCCTGGTGAAGCTGATGCTGAACTAGCAGAGATGTGCAAAAGGGGCCTTGTTGATGCTGTTTTTACTAAGGATAGCGATCTTCTTCCCTTTGGCGCTCCTCGCATCTTCCGACCCCTGCGCATGTGAGTGCTGTACAACAGGATCATATGTATCTATCAAATTGCTCACATAGAATTATAGAGATCATAAGCCCCGGAATTTCAAGGACTTCGAAACAGTTCTCATGTACAACGCCGAGTCAATTGAATCACATCTAGAACTTTCGCATGCTGGTCTCATCTTGATCTCCCTACTCTTGAAAAATGACTACAGCGACGGTGTGAATGGCATCGGCTCTGAAACAGCAGCAGGTCTTGCCAAATGTGGATATGGAGACGATCTTCTCAACGCCCACAGATCCTTTTCTACAATGCCTCAGCAACTTGCAGAGGCCTTTGGCCGACTCAATAACAATATGGCGGACGAAATCGAATTCAATACTCATCACAAGCTCAGATATCGTAGCCCTTACAAGGCAAACGTGCTCCGCATATCCCAATTCCCATCACTTAGAGATCTATCAGCCCTCACGGCATTTCTGGAACCTGTCACCAGCTGGTCCCGTTCCATGGACCATTCAAGAGCACCGAGCGCCTCGAAATGGCCACCCCGAACACCCGACATAATGGAAATCACCAAATTCTGTCGTTACAATTTTGGTTGGCCTGACAAACATGCGCTCAAGAGATTTCACATTGACCTATGGCCAGCAGTCATCATGCGAATGTTAAGCTCTGTATGTTATTCATTCAATCTGTTGGTATCATGGACAATATAATTTATGGTCGGCTAGAAATTTCTTCGTTTCAAAGAGAAAGAAGCCGAGATTCTAGTTCCCCGGCTGCAGGGTACATTTGCGGTTGGCGCAAATGGAAAATCTTATCCATCTATGCTTTCTACCATAGTTCGCAACAAAAACTCACTGCGGCTACGAGGAATGAGAGCAAACGATGCCATTTCGACTACATTTTCTACAGAATTCTTTCTCCAACTCACTGGTCTTGCTAGCTCAGTCTCTGATACTTCCAGGAGAGTTGACGTCCCTGCCGCAATGATCGCAGTAGCATTGCAGCAAAGTGATCAGATCCGTGGACTGAATGAACGTCTTGGTAAGTTGTTCACTATATCAATCGTTCTAGAGTAAAACGGGCAGCTTAATTCTAGGTCCACCTCCGTCGCACATCATCCATGTTGAAATTGAAGTCCTTGAGCGCGGCAATGCATCTGGTAAGATTATCTGTCTTTGAGACGTCAACATGAAATACTGATTGCATCTTCGACAGGGAGTAGTCAGAATCACCAGGAAAACCCCACAAAGCGCAAGCATACTGGCACAAGCTTGAATGATAGAGATGAGCCCAAGCGTCTGCGTCCAATGCTTAAGGACCTCGGAGTGATCGAACTTACTGATAGTGAAGATTAAATATGTCTTCGAGGCAGCAATTGTGATTATTATATGTATGTAAAATTTTCCTTTGTAGAGATATAATGTAAGATAGAATATACAACATCGTATCTACCATATTCTGAGAATTCAATGAATAGCAATAGTGGATTATTGCTCGAGGTGCTCTAACTATAAGCGATTCATTGACATCGTCTTTTTTTCCAGTCAAGAAAGCTTCGTATTTTTTTAAGCTTGGTGATTTTGATAAAGAGACGAAATTGTCAGGGTTCAGCAGACAGAGAGACCATTTCACGACAATAAAGGAGACGATTCACGGCTATACAGCCAAGGTAACCAGTTCCCCGTATCTAATATTCATATTCAGAATTACATACATGCGGCTAACTATTATACAGCAGATTGCATATTGACGTTTCATTTCCTTATACACATCTCCCCTACTGCTCTGTCTGCACCAGCTACACCTCGCTACACCTCCCCCACGAACCTCAAAAGCCTGCTCTGCCTGCCTGCACCAGCTAAACCTCCTCCCTCATAAACCTCAGCGATTGCAATGGAAACAGCCACCCAGTGAGTCCCTGCACGCATGTAGCATAATTGCGGCTCGAAGTTCAAGAACTTCGATGTTTTTCACACCTTCACACAATAGACTGATAAGTTCAGCCTACACTACCGTGCGTGCTGGGGCAGGAGGAGGAGGCGGAAGCATTGAACATCGAATCGTTTTGCTCCCGCCGCCGTCGATTGCCCGCTCGTTGGCCGGAGCGCGTGGATCCGTCGGGTGATGCAGTGCAGTCCCTAAAGGGGACCTGTCATTACGCATCAGGTCACATCCCGTAACGATCCGTTATTTGATGTGACCTTCATGGTCTTTTCCGTTGGTCTCAATTGCACTTCTCTCTGAGTATAGACGGTGTAGTCACGCCCGGATGACAGGCCCGGGAAAATTTGATCGGACTTGGACGATGCTGATTTCGGCCGAATTAGCATCGTCCCTCTCAATTACAATCACGTTACTCTTTATTTCCGTTCTCACCATGGGTTGGCCGTCGTTTCGCCTTTCCCTCTCTTTATATTTACCTCCGTTAACGCTATTAACACTCGGCGTCCCTGGCAGCTCGATCAGCAATGGCGCTGTTGCCGCCGCCGGCTCCCTCTCTTCCCTCATCGCCGCCTTCAACGACCTCGATCCAGAATACCTCGCAGTTGTCCGCACCACCCTAGACTCACAAGAACTCGCGCTTTCTCTTCTCGAAATGCAGTGCCAACAAGCCCTCGACGCTATGGATATCGACGGTCCGAGTGCGCACTCTCCTACGGCTCTTCCCAGTGAAGAAATTGAGATAGACGGCCAAAAATTCAAAATTGTCTATCCATCTGAGCCTCAGCCTTCCGACACTCTCGCGCTTCCTGGCAGTTATGAAAAAGATACTGGTGTGTTCCATGTAACATACAGAGACCTGTGCGCCCTCTTGTTCTTATCTTGCCCTGCTATATTCACTGATCTATGAATTTCCAGCAACACTTTGAAACGCTCAGCGCTCATCGAAATCTGCAAGAAATACGAGCTGGGTACCCAAGGTAATATGCAGGTCTTGAAAGAAAAACTCATTGGGTTTAGTGAGAATAAAATACGTTGGCAATGGTATGTCTTTCAAAGTTGTAGAATCACGTTTGTTTAACCTTTCCTCTCAGTCTCATTCCTGTTGCTCGACGCGCTCATCGTGGAGTACGTAGCGGAGGTATCACCAAGAATAAGCCCGCGAACAAAGAAGGCCCTGCTGCTATCCTGTCCAAAGCCAAGAAGCTCAAACTTTCGACAGTGCGAAGGAATGAGATGATGGGACTGCCCCTAGATGCCCCGCTTGGTGCTCAGCTGTCCGATACCAAACGCTCGAAAGACATGCGTACACTGGAACAGAAGAACAGGCTTCTTAGCTGGGTGAGTCTTTCTCGATGTTTCAAAGACTTGCTGACCATTCATATGTAAACACATCTAGGCAAAGGCATTCTGTGACAAGCATCCGTATGTAACGCGAGAGGAGCTTGCGCGAAGACGGAAAATCAAAGAGGAGGAGAGGGCGAGAGAGAATGCTACCAGTACAGTACGTAGCTCTTGGCTCTTTTTCTTTTCTCCGACATTGATTGGTGCTCGAGTATAGGCTAAAGTAGCACAATACATGCACTCAATGATCGAACATGTTTCCAACCTTCGAGTCGAGATTCAAACACTCAAGACCGGGCTTCCACCCCCATCGCTTTTGCAAGCACCTTTGCCCGTTCTTGCACCGCTTTTGACAACTCCTGGTCCGTTCTTCTTTTCTAGGTTCCTTATGGCTAACATATACCTACCTACCTTCCTTCCTAGCACTGTACAACGTACCCCCACCTTTCAACAGCTCTCCTGACTGCATCACCGCAGCTCATGT